ATCATCAATCTCTGCACCCCCCCCCCCTTGCGTTGAAAGTTGAAACTCCCAAACCCCTCACTTTCCTTTTACTATCTCACTGTCCACATTACAGTCTTCTCACACTACCAACAACTAAACAAACCCACCACAGCCTCCAGATTTCTTCGCTAAGCTACTTGAAATCCAACAGGTCCCCCATTATTTGTAACGCCCAGAAGTCACAATTCTACCAAAAATCCACCATTTCTTGAAACTTTTTGGGAGTTGCAAGAAGAATGCCCATTAACACTGAATCTACTCCTCCTCCTAGGATCGGTAAGATCGGTCCATACACAGTTTTCATGACCCCTCCGGCCACACCCAATTCCGGTTCTGCCGAGTCACCAAAAAACCCGGCAGACTCGAAGCTGTCACCACTACCAGTTCAGCCGCAACCGGTTCAGACACCAGCGGTTCAGGTGCCACCAGCTCCGGTCGAGAAGTCATGTCCGGTTTGGTCTCCCCCAATGCAGTATGATAAACCCTCTACGAAATCTCACTCGTTTTTTGGGGTTTTCTGGAACGCTGTGGCTAAAGTTCAAAATGGTACCTTTTTTTTGTCCTCCTCCTTTTCAATGCTCTGTTTGGTTAAAAGAGAAAGTATCTGATTCTTTCATTTTATGGGGAAAAATAATCTTTTTAATATAAAGGGGAAAAAATGGTAACTTTAGCGCATTTTGCGTTATCCAGATTTTTGTTTTCCATTTTCAGATCTTGATTAAATGAATGCTTATTCATAAATATTTCAGCGCAAGATATTCTTTTTCCGCTTTGTGTTACCCAATTTTTGTTCTTTTCTTTTTAAAGAATTATTTTCTGTGAATATGTACTAATTCTACTTTTTAAATGGATTTTTGTAGCTCATGCGAGTTTGGATGAACAAGTGGCATACTGGTTTGGGTTGAATCAGTCAAAGTATCAGTGGGCGTTGGATGATTACTATGAGAGCAAAGGAATTGTAAGTCTAAAGTTTATTTTGTTTTCTTTTTGGGTTTATAGCTGAATTTTAATGTTTGGTGTTGGTGGGGGTAAGATTTGGGTGTATACTATGGCCCTAGTTATATGTTTATGTGACTTCTAAGTGATATTTTCTGATTTCCACTTTCTGGTTAAGTGAGCTTTAGGGTTAAGTTTTGTATTCCACAGTTTGTGCCTTCGAAAACATCTATTTGCTATTAACTGGGGATGCATCCTTTTTTCAGTTATGACCTTTAAGTTTAACTTCTTTTTTTGTTTCTACTTGGTGAAAATTGTGTTAATCATTGCAATGACTGTGACTTAAAGATTAGAATCAATGATGTGTATACATAAACTGAGTCTTGGTTAGACGCCTTTTTATACACTGTGCTCCATGTCATTTACTTTCTAGGAGCATTTATTTGCAGTTTATGATTTCAGATTTTAGTTTGTTCTCAGGCATCATGAAAAAGGTCCTAATCAATAGAATGTGGTGGTGCAGTGTTTCGCTGCAAGTAGAAATTTTTTATTCGGGATGAAGTCCTTGCTGCTGCTTTATGTTACTGCCCCTACTTAAATCTCTTGAAAATCAATTGTGATTCTTGGATTCGTAAATATGTTGATGTTTTGGTATTACGTTTAAAGAGCCAGTCGTATTTTAGTTTAACCTCTAGATTGTGGTTTCATTTTCCTTTTTGGTAAGAGGGTTTTATTGGTGGTGAAAGATAAACTTTACTAAAAATACCTTTGGGCTAATGCAGATTTATTTCCTAGTAGGAGAAGTTTTCTGAAAAGCTGTAGAAAGATTAAGGATGGTTGATACCTTCCCATGCAGTTGTGCATGCTCCTAGCTGACCTGTGTTACAGTGGATTCCAACATCTGGAGACTACAAACTTTGATCATTCTGTTATATCCCCTTTCTTCAAGAAGAAAATGGGAGATAATGAAATATTTGCTTGAGGTATTCCATGAAGAATGACTTGTGCTCTGGGTAAATGTACAGGCCAGCACCTGAAATTTATTCCAAATGATTAAGATCCCATGCCTCTTCGATCTTCATATCCTTTTCTTTTGAGGTGTGCGATGAGGGGATGATGATGATGGTCTTTAGGGAGTTTAGAGGTTTTTTCTTTTTTTTTTGGGGGGGGGGGGGGGTGAATCTACATGGGCGTTCGAGTATGTAGCATAGATTGAAAAAGTTATGCCTCTTATGTTGTACTGCGTCCATTTTAGTTTATATAGCAGTGGCACGGAGTTTAAGAGAGATTTTTCGTATTTACCAACCGTAGCTTTTGAACTTTTGGTCTTAAACATGCCATGACATTTCTTTGGCTATAAGAGCATGTCATTGTTAAGGGCAAAATGGGATGTTTATAGTTAAAAAGTTCCTAAATAAAGAAAGGTGCCATTTTTTTGGGTACACATTGAAAAACGAAGGTGTGCCACATAAAATGGAATGGAGGTAGTTTGTGTTAATGGTTTGACTGGGAGGAAAAAGTAATCCATTACAAGAGGTCAAAGACCTGCAAACAGATTTTTAGTCCCATTTAGCCTGCTTGAAGCAAATTCTACCAAATTCTTTGTTCTCATATACTCGAGCATTTGTGCATCAGTTTTGGAAATTTGTAGCATATTAGTTTGAAGCTTTATTGCATAGATCATGAGGTGAGATAAAGCAGCAACAGGAATGAGTTTATTTTGAGCTTGGACATCAACAAGGGTGTTTAGTATTAGCTGTTTTCTAATGGTTAACAAGGGCAACTGACAGGAGAACGGTTTCTTGTGTACGGGATATTTTAGGGGTGATAAGAGAGAAAAAAAGCTAAGTTAAAAACAGTAGTCTCTGGCTCCAGGTTTCTCTCTTCCATATACAATACAATAACCCAGTATAATCCCACTTAGTGGGGTCTGGGGAGGGTAGTGTGTACGCAGACTTTACCCCTACCCTGGGATAGAGAGGCTGTTTCCAAATAGACCCTCGGCATCCTTCCCTCCAAGAACTTCCCACCTTGCTCTTGGGGAGACTCGAACTCACAACCTCTTGGTTGGAAGTGGAGGTTGCTTACCATCAGAGCAACCCCTCTTCTCTCTTCCATAGAATTATATAAATCCTTCTGCCCCAAGTATATGATACATTTTTTGGAGATCATTGTGTTAATCGATGAAACTAGTGAAGGTGTCAATAAAAAGCCCGAGCTATGGAGAAGCATTTTAAAAGGTTAGAGATTTAAGATAAATAGAAGCAGAGTGCGCTGCATGATTAGCCAGCGAGATAGGAGTGAAATTGTTGTGAGATTAGATGGAATTGACATATCTAATTGTATACAATATAGATATGTGGGCTCAACATTTCAGGAGAATGGAATGCCAGATGAAGATACCATGCATAGGATTAAAGTAGGATGATTGAAATAGAGGAGTGCCACATGAGTGTTATGTGCTTGGGAGATACCTACCAAAGTGAAAGACAATTCTAAAGAGCGACAGTAAGGCCAACAATGTTGTATGGAAGTGAATGTTGGGCCTCTTAATGCCTAACATATCCACAATATGAGTGGTCAATGAAGTGGGTTAAAACCATGAGGTTTCATAAATTCCAGGGAGGGAAATCACTAGGTGATTTCTTCCCATCTATTCAAGCCTTGAAAGACAAAATCATATAGTACCTATGCTGGTAAGAGGTAGCAGGTATCCCGTGGAATTAATTGAGGTGCGTGCAAAGTTGGTCCGGGCACCAAATTATAAGAAAATGTTGCTTGAGATGGTTTGGCAGCGTGTTACATAAGCCACCAGATGCACCGGCTTTTAGATGTGAAAACATAATGATTGAAAAGGTAGACCCAAATCCACATGAAAAAAATTTATCTCAAAGGATTTAAAATATCTCGGAATCCAGGCAGATTTAGCAAAAAATAAAAAACAATGGAAGTTGAAAATCTGTATAGGTGATACCAACTAGAAGACTAGTGCATAATAGAAGGTCTTACTATATTTGATATATAACCACTAGAGTAATTAGAAAACCTTTAATGTTAGATAATCCTTAAGTATGGAGTATTGACCCAAACAAATCATGTATGATATTGAGGATAATACAACCGGCCCTAACTAGCTTTAGATTGAAGCATAGTTGTATTTTTGTGAGATACCAAATGTTTGACATACATTTTCTTACAAAAGTAAGCATTTTACTGTCACAGCTTTCAAATTTTCGAATGCATTTAACAATTTAAATTTAAACGTTGATATGACATTTTCCAACTTTCAGCTACTTTAATATTACTTGAGCAACTGCCATTATATTTACAATTCAGATTCACATTATATACTCCTTGCCAATTAAAACTATGTAACGTAAAATTGATTGGAGCAGTTCTGGCATTTATTCTAGACATCCAAATGAATGTTCTAAAGACCAATAGTATTAGGCCTCGCATTTTGATAATGTAAAGAATATTTATACTTATTTTGTCCCTGTTAGACGTAAAGCAGGTTTGGCAATTTTCCAGCAATTGCTAAAGTTTAAAGATGACTCTTAGTAAAATTCATACCAGGTGTGGTGAAACTGGAAATGTCTTAACTTAGATGCCTCAAAGTCTAATACACAGATGAGAAAGTAAGTTATATTATTGTATCATTCGTAGAAAGTAGGTTACTTTATCAAAAATAAAAATAAAATATCATGCGTAGAAAGTAAACATTCTATTATTGCATCATATAGAATATTGATTCTGCAACTCTCAAGGCTATTTCCCTTCTACATTTGATGCTCAACCGGTGAATCAATGGGTAGATTGGTAGCAGGGAAGTGAGCATGAAATACTAGATCGAAGATATTAGGTCTAAAAATCTACTTCCTTTCTCAAGCAAATACTGCAATTGGAAGTGGATATGGCATGCTTTTGTTTTCTGTAGTGTTTGAGTTTTGTCTTAAAAACTTCCTTTCTCAAGCAAATATTACAATTAGATCACTTTTTGTTGTTGTTGTTTCTTTTTGGCCTTTCCAGTAACAGTTACATGCTAATTTTACCTTTATTGCTAATGTGGTGTGTAATTTCCTTTAGTTTAGTTGTTGAATACTTATTAAATATTTTTGTGCACAGAACCAGACCGAAGAAAAAGCAAAAGCTGTAGCTAGCAAATTAGAGAATGTATGATATGCAAGGAGAAGGTAAAATATAGTTAGGGATGTGCTATTTTTCTTCTCTTATTACTTCTAGTGCTTTTTGTTGACCGTGAAAAACATTTTGCAGGAATGTCTCTGGCCTTTAAGTTGCCTGCAGAATCTGCATTTGCCCATATGCTACATATTATGTGTGATATAGAGAAAGACGAACTGGTGCATGGAAGCTTCTTTTCCTTAACGTATCAGAATGTTATTGTCTCAAATTTTTAGCTGCTATGGTGCAGCAGCTAATGATGTTGTGTTGTAGGCCTTGCCCCATGTAGTCTTTTTGAGGTTTTTCATTATATGCTAAAGCTTTCTATTCTATCTTTTACAATTTATCTATGTATTTGTAACTGGACATCATATTCAACTTGTAGAAAGTTTCTCTCAAACTAGGGTATTTCCAGTTGCTAGTTCTCATTTTGGTGTTCCCATCCACTAAAGAGAACTAATAATATAGCGAGCAAACGTTTGCCCTACCATAGTGATGCAGCAACAAGAGAGCAATTGGTACACAAGATTTATAAAGCACTTGTAAAGTTGCTGGTAAAGTTGTTGTCGTGTGACCAGGAGGTTATGGGATTGAGTCGTGAAAACAGCTTCTTGCAGAAATGCAGGGTAACGCTGTATACAATAGACCCTTGTGGTTCGGACCCCACGTATAGTGGATGCTTAGTGGATCGAGCTGCCCTTTTATCTTGGTGCCTGGGTACGAATTGCTAGGATACAGAATTAGTAGCCATCATTGAGGAAGCAACTAAATCTGGTTAAGGTTATGCGAATCTGATTTGGTCTGCTCTCAAAGTGGGTAGGGACGCCGGATGAGAAATTAAAAAGAAAAAGAAATTCTATTAGTTCTGTGGAAAGAATCATGGGGTAGCACAATCTATATGCTCTCTATGGTGCCGTTTGATTGATTACACGAGGAAATCTTAGGTTTTATGTAAATTTCTGCAATACAAAGCGCAGCATTATCAACGTATTCTGTGTAATTTATATGATCATCGGTTTTTTGCATCAAATTTTGCGTAGTTAATACAGCTTTGGTTTTTTATACTTGGTACTGAACTCACATTACACATTTGTGCGAGAATTTAGATTAATGTTATACGTGCTTGATTATTGACATTTTGTCTATGGTAGTTTTTGAACAAGATGAATGTCATTTTGTTTTTTTTAGAACATGCAGGAAGTGTGTTGGTTGAAATTGAAGTTGATCAACGCCAAGATTAATTTGTACTACACTGAAATCTTTCCTCATGTTAAAGGAGATTTAACAATTTTTATCTACCAAAAAAATCATTTTAGCCTGTTCTCATTGTATAGTTCCCGCCAAAGGAGATTAAACTGAACCCCCTAGAAAAACCCTTGCCTGTACCTACCTCCGCCCATGCCGTGTGTAGATTGTATTAGAGACCCTGCAGGAATATATTAACATTTCATCATACTCTTAGGGTGTGTTTGGTACGAAAGAAAATATTTTCCATGAAAAATGAATGATTTTATCACTTATTTTCCCTTGTTTGGTTGGGAGTGGAAAACATTTTCCGGAATTTTCTAGTGTCTGGTTAGAGAGTAGAAAATATTTTTTTATACTACTCTTCTCACCCCC